TCTCTCTCTCTCTCTCTCTCTCTCTCTCTCTCCTGCCTGCATCTGCCAGCGTGATCATTTGGATCCTGTGTTGGTCACCTTTTCCTTCCTCCTCCTTCCCCCTATCCTTTTGTCCCATCGTCTCCCTCCATAGCATTTTGCATCCACACGCCCCATGCAAGAGCCGATTTCATCACCTCCAGAATTTATCCGGTTTCTAACCATTGTCGGGGTTAATGAACAAGCTGTCAAGCTCACCACTAGACTAGGATGCCGCCATACGTTCATCCAGTTGACTTCTCCCATAAGATTGGAGGACAAAACCTGGACACTTCTCAGACTAGGAAGGGCAGAAAGAGGAATATCTGAGAAAACACAATTCAATTTCTCATCCTCCAGTGTCCTGCATCAACGATAACAATCAACAGGGAATCAGGGAGACGAGAATAAGCAAACTGTCACAAACAAATGGGAACCCATGGAGGCAAGAGTCAACAATATGCCATTAGCAATGCTAATACTGTCTAGCATTCTACAGTGTCATGGGGGCCTCTGCGCAAGGATGATACATAAATCAAGAAATGGCTCAAATTAAACACACACACACACAAAAAAAAAAAAAGAGGAGCCTCAGCCTTCATCTGACTCCATATCACCCCAAAAGACTCTACAAATTTCTCAACAAGGGCAGCGCACTTGATGTGGTGATTCTTTCTCTGCGTCAACCCCTCCACTATTGCTTGCGTCCTTAGCCGCTTAATGGTCCCCTGTCTGTCCGTCCTCCCCAGCATCTCTGCCTCCCATTGCCCCTCGCTACCCCTTTGAGTACTTTCCACCCCTTCCCGGCCATGCACTCTTCTCCGCTTTCCTTTGCTCTTTCCACTCCGCTTCCCTTCAATCACATCTTCTCTACTCCCCTTCAGTTTGCTGATCCAGCTCCTCGTCTCTTCAACATCCTCCAGTGGACGAGCTTCTGGTTGGGCGGCAGTCGCGAATCGATGGCAGAGTGTGTGGCCTCTGTACACTCTGTATTTCATCTCCTCCTGCTCCTCCTCCATCTTTCTCGACCCCTGACACGACAAACATCTTCATCCTACTCCCCATGATGGCACTCCCCTTCCTCACATCTCTCTGGTTCCCTCGTCGTCAATCACAACCCTATTCAATCTTTTACCCCCTCGCTTCTCTTTTTTTTTTTTTTTTTTTTTTTTTTTTGGAAGGCTCCATCTATAGTGGGGAGCAGCACCTGCTGGAAACCGGGTCCAGCATCCCTCACATTGTGAGAATCCATGAGATGAGAAATAGCTTTAGTATCACCTATGCTGGAAACCGGGTCCAGCGTCCCATTGCTAAATCCCTTCTGTTTCTGATAACCAGTTCCACTACCTTACTACCCCCTGTGTATTCTCTCTTTTTCAGCTAAAGGAACCAAACCAGTTTCAGAAATACTGCTACGGGTGCTAATTCCAGATCTGAAGATAGGAGTGCCTCTTCAGTCAGAATTCTGACCGCCTGATAAGAATGATATTTCTAGCCTCCCTTTTCAGAGTTCCTCTAACACTAGCTCGTCCTGCATCCTATCCTTCTTCTCCCCCCCCAAACCACTCAAGATCCACCAGAGCAAATGTAGAGGGAGGAAAGGGTAACGGTGGTGAACTCTAGTCCTGAAGATAGAGATGCCTCTTCAGCCATAAAATCTGACCGCCTGCAGCCTATTCTCCTTCTCCCCCCCGAAACCATTCCAGATCTACCAAAGCAAGTGTAGAGGGAGGGAAAGGGTCAGGAAAACACTCAGGTGGTCTCAAAGAAGCATCCAACCACACCACCTCTCCCAGTTTCTCCCCTGATGCATCCCCCAGCGAGTCCAGATTGAATTTCAGAATTCTTTGTTTGATATCCCTTTTCTGTTTGAACTTTGAACTCCATAAGCCTTGTTTTCATCATTTCCCATTGAGCTCTGATTTCTGATTGGACAAAATGTTGAATTATTTCTGCCATCTCTTGTTTTTTAATTTTAACTCCTTCCATTGTATTAACACATCTTTTATGCCACAAGGCCCACAAGACCGCTTTCCTACCCAAACGAAAGAAATTTTGTTGAAAAACAGATAAATCAATCAACACAGGATTCCAATGCCCCAGGAGGATTGCCCTCCAGTCCCATGGCCAACCCATACCTGTTAGCCTTCTCCACACATAATGCCAACGGCGCCAAAGCAACACAGGGGCATTGCAAAAAAACGTGTTCAATTGTTTCTCTGATTCTTCTACTGGGAAAGGCCTGTACACAGGAATTGCACCATGGTAAAGCCACACCTCTTTGTTCTAGTGTAGAGTGATCTATTAGCCAATTATTCGTGGGTAAACACCTATGCATTATTTGCCATTGTAGGGATGCGAACTTAGAAGGCCTCTCCCTAAGGCCTTGACACCACCTTACTGGTTTGAGCAAATCCTCATAGATATTTAGGTGCCTATGCCATCGGTCTTGTATGATTTCCGGAACCTCTGTTTTAGGACGCAACAACCGATAAGACGCCTTTACTGACAGAGACTGTAATCTTAGGGGTTTACTCCTATTTATACGCCATACCCACTCAGCTGGGTCTAGGGGGAGGTCCGGTATGGGCACATGAGGAAGGAACATTGTTCAGCCTTTTGTCATTGCATAATATAGTGCCCTTACCCTGTACATTGCATCAAAGGAGTAAAAAATTACCCTGTCTTGATCTTTGTTAGAAATCTTGTTGTCTTTATGGATCTTTAAAATATCCACAAGAGTTCCCTCCTCATAGACATCCAAGATTCGTCCTACTGACTTGAAGCCGTCTTGTAGATTTATACACACCCAGTCTGCTACCCGAAAAACAGGACCTCTTTTAAGCACCACTATCCAGGCTAGAGGAATGGCTGAAATAATTTTATCCAAATTTTTATTAAGTAAATTATGCGCATACTTAATCTCTTTCCTGAGCTTCTCTGCTGTTTTCCAATTCTTATTTTTCGTGTCCCACAGATCCTTAATTCTTATTATTCCATGCTTGACCCATGTAGACCACGGGGAGTCCGAGCTTATGAAGACCCTACCATTTTGATCAGTAAGCCATCGGTTGCCAAAAAGAGGTTGATGTAAGACTTCCTCAAATCTTGAAGGTGTGGACTTATTTGGTAAAGGCAACTCACGCCAGGTTTTCAATAGGCCTGACCAAAAGCCGTCCAATCCTAGATCCTTCCTGGCTGCACCTCTCACCCCTAACCCGGTATAATGCTTTTGGGGGCGAGGAATAGTCCAAAACCTATCTTCCACCCACGACAGAGGGTGCACCTCCTCAGTAGTTTGGGGGGCCAATCTACGAACTTGTTCCAAGGCCAGGTCTCGCCATTGAAGATCTATAGCTAGAATTAAATGTTTCACTACTTGAAGTGCCAAAGCCTGATATTGAATTTTAGGATCGATAATTCCCAAGCCTCCTTTAGTCTTTGGTTGGATTGGGATTGAAGTCGTCCAGGCTACTCTTGGGATCACGTGTAATGTCTCATGATCTCCTCGCCATGGAAAGACTGTAAGTTGTCTTTGCAATTCCTTTGTAGGTTTCTTATTTAATGACCACAAGAAGGATTTGTACCAAATCGAGGCCAACACCACATTATTGATTATTAATGTTCTATCAAAAATTGATGTGTGTTTATTCTTCCATAGTTTTATTTTTTCTAGCGCAGGAGAAGAGATCCATAAATCATTCGAACCTGGTTTCCCTTGAGCTGTGAGAATCACCCCTAATACCCTGATAGGTGTTTCTAAAGGAACCCATTTAATCCTAGGAGATTCCGGAGGTCTAACCCCGTGCGAGTGAATCCACCATCCCTGCGTTTTGTTTCCCCAATTGACTAGCATATCAGATAAGGCAGAGAATTTGTCCAATATTGCCTTATTTTCCTCAAAATTGGTCAATGATGCCTCCATCATGATTGTTAAGTCGTCAGCGAACATGGAGTAGATTCAGATTGCCTCCTTCAGAACGTTGGCAATCCTCATTCGTTGGAGGTTGCGGTTTTCCCTAAGATTTGCTCCTAATGCTTCCATAATAATAACGAACAGAAAGGGAGTTAAAGGGTCTCCTTGCCTCACTGACCTCTGAAGAGGAATCTCAGGGGAAAGTAAGCCATTAACCTGAACCCGAGTGGTGGCATTCGAGTGGAGAATTTGAACCCATCTCCTCATTTTGGGTCCAAATTCTAACTTAGCTAAGCATGCATTCAGGAAACGCCAATCCACATGGTCATATGTTTTTTCAAAATTTATGAATATGAAGGCCACATTGTGCTGATTCTGCCAAGGTAACTTAACCATTTCATTGATTAACAACACATTATCTTGTATTTTTTTCCCATGAATAAAACCCGTTTGAGAGGGATGGATAATATCAGTCATTATAGGAATGGTTAGTGATAGCCTTAGCTAACATTTTGTAGACCACCGTCAATAAAGTGATTGGTCTATAATTCCTTATGTTGGTCTTATCACCCTTTTTGTATAACAGTGTTAGAATTCCTTGACCAACAATTTCCCCCATACATCCCGAGTCCTGAACATTATTATAGTACTCCATGAGGTCTTCTGCAAAAGTCGCCCACATTGCCTCCCAGAATTCCTTCGGGAGACCATCTGCCCCTGGGGTTTTGTCCTCCTCCATTTGCAAAAGGGCTGTCCAGATTTCCTCTTTCGTAATTGGAGCTTCCAATTTTTCTTTCTGATCCTGAGTTAGCATTTATGTTAGGGTTTCGAGAAAGTTTTGTGTCTCTTGGTCCGGTAGTGAGGGATCTACCGTAGATGTATAGAGATTTTTGAAAAAATCATAGGCTACTTTTAAACTACTAGCCGATGAGACGGCTCGAGATGTGGGGGCAGATTAGGATCTATCAGAGCTTCTATATTTGTCCTTTTAACCCTTGGTTTAGCAAGGGCGAAGAAGGAGGAGTCCATTTGTCTTTCTAACTAATGTCTGGATAATTTTCTCCTAATGAGATAGCCCTGCCACCGATTTTGGGCTAGGGCAAGAAGTTGGTTCTTAAGTTGTGGGATGTCTATTGACTGGGACAATGTTTCTGAAGATTCTCGTTGTTCGTAATGAAGTATTTTTTCATGAATTTCCATTTCCTGCATATGTTTCTGTTTAGCTATTAATTTTAAAAATTCATTGCATTTCTTTGCCAAGAAAAATAATCCACAGTTGAACCATGATATGTAGGATTCATGTTTATCTTTTGTGGTTTGCCAAAACTTCCATACATCTTGGATGTAAGTTCTAAAGTCTGTTCTTTTTAAAAGAGAAGAATTAAGTTTCTAAAAGCTTCTTCCACAATCTGGTTTCTTTCTGAAAGTTGATAAGATGGCGCACATCT